TTCATAATTGTGACCACCATTGAACCAGCTATCTACATGGATATCCTCCTCAGACAATGCTGCAGCAAATTAATCGTATAGAGTGAAGGCTTCAGATTTCCTATGTGATACCCCTTGCAACCCAAAAGCAAAATCTGAACAGATGCTTTAATAACAGAGGGATGTGATCCTGGTGCAAACCCTATCATAATTTGACCACTTCAGTCCACTCTGCACAAGAGGGTGCCCATATCTTCATGTATGAAGTTGAAGCACGTTCTGCATGTTTGGTGACTCTGCCACCTCAGCGGTTGCAAGCATTCATGGAGAAATGAATGAAGCATGAGGAATCCAGCATGAAAGCCTCAATCGTTAATTTAACGCAACTGGGCATTGCGCTCTGAGCAATGCCAGTATAATCTCCACCAGGAGTTTGAAAGTGTCCTGCAGCAGAATTAAAAATTCAAGATAGATATAACTTCCACCAGATCGAGAAGTGGGATTCATTAAAACTCTAGGTGTTTGCTATTAGATTTGCAGTGTGTCCGGACAGATCTTTTGAAAGCCGAAAGTAATTCATTTCCCACTTTTGTAAATCCTTCAATTTAGATGCATAACCTTATGAACTCCTCCCTCTTTTGATGCACGTGTTGTATCTCATATAGAGGCAAATCCTTGGCACTATCCAAGTCACAGACACTGGAACAAAGACAAGAAGATATTGTACCAGCAAGGATTCCATGTGATCTTTAGACCTGTTCTTAATTCAAATGAATGGCAGAATGCTTTTGTGATGGTAGATTGGATCAGTTGTCTGATAATTGGGCAGAACAACAGAGTTCTGTCCATGGGAAAGTGATACAATTAATTTTGGCTGGGAGGTTTTCCACCAGATTTCACGCCCATCTTTCATTGTATCCAATATGATTGCACTTGGAATACAAATAGAAACACTGACCACTGACCACCAAAATTTCACCCTACCAGAATTTACTTAATTTCATTTCATTTCAATCCAAAAGCATACCTCACATTATGGAAGATGAGCAATGGGAACTTCTTTATTATATAATAATTCTTGCATTTGATATAAGTGTTTTTATAACGCTGGATGAAACATGATCTCAAAAGTATTTCGCAGAATTATTGTAAAGTGTGTATTTGTAAGTAAACACAATTTGCACTCCGAAATGGCTCACAACCATTCGTATAGTGAGTAACTAAATCTATTTGGGGTATTGTTGGCCAGGACATGAGGGAAAAACTCCCTCCTCTTTTTGAATATTGTCATGAGGTCTTCAATATCCATCTGAACAGGGAGATGGGACATTGTTAATCCAAAGGATGTCACATCCGAGAATGCAGCACTCCCCCATCATTGCACTGGAGTGCCAACCTAGATTATAAACTCAAATTTTTGCATAATAATAATCCCTCCAAAACAATAATAAATTGGTCATTTTCAATCCACGACTGTTTGTGGGACACTGCTGTGCGCAATTGGCTGCCGCGTTTCGTCCACAAAAATACAGTCAATTCACATTACAGTATATTCTGTGAAGCGCTTTGAGACGTCTAGAAGACATGAAAAGCACTATATCAAATGCAAGGATTATTATTATTATTATTCACAGTTCAATCATAGCTATGCTATTAGGATAGTTTGTGTGCTTGCCATGTTCAAAAATAATTGTTAAAATAATTGTTAATCCTCTTACTTTCCTCCAACCCCAACACCAGATCCCCCGCCATGATTATTATTGCTAACAAAAGTTGTCATTCATCAGTAAAATTAAGGGACATGTTCTTTGTCTGTTGCAAGGAAGGGAAGAGGCACAGAAACAGCTGAATGTCTCTTGAACAAGCAATGCAATGAAGTTCATGTAATGATGCAAGTGGTTTAATTGGATTTTGTGTTCCCGTTTAAATGTTTCACAAACAAAAAATAGTTTGCCAATAGTTTTTGACATGAACTATGCCCTTTTTAAATTAGGAGACTGATATGAGGTCTGTCCAACATCGGGCTGATCTTATATTCTTGTGATGGAGCTTATCTGCATTTGTGTCATGTACAGCGCTGAAAATTCTTTTTATTGGCATACAAATGTTGTTTACAGTTTTAATATTGGACCTCAGACATAACTATGCCATTTAATAATTTAATGCTCCGATCTGGTCAGTGTCTTTTTTCACAGTAGAGAAACAAAAATTCACATTGCATGCGTAGGAAGTGCATGAAAATAAACATAAAGCAAAGCCATAAACAATTAGAGAAAGTCGCATCTAGTGTGAGAAAGAATGAGTGTAAATAGCATTGAGCTTTACTGTGATCTGGTATTTGTCCAATGTTTGGTTAATTTCAATCAGATGTTGTGAAGCAATGAGACTTGGGCGGTTCTGTGCAAAATAATATTTGGGGTACATTCCAAACGATACACATTTAAGAAATCTAAAGAAAACTATAAATTATAGGAATGAGATGAGTAATTCATCAAGCAGTTATGTGAAAAGCAATGTTAAATGAGGATAATATGTGGCTGTGGCAGGGAGGCAAGGAAAGAAACATACTTGAGAAAAGGAGCGCCAGAAAGAGCTTGGCTTGCAAAAGTACCAGTGTATGTGCCTTGTTTTCCTCAAGCCATGATGGCAGAAAAACAATTTCAAGTTAAAGGGTGCCACTTTATTGACTTATACATTGGGTGTAATTGCCCACAATAGGGTTGTAAATTAGAAATAAGGCAATGGTTTCAGAAACCGTTGTTCCATTAATAATCTGCACAAGTTTGCCTTGCTGAGTTGCTTATTGCAATTTAGTGTTTGTTTCTGCATTTATTTCATGTCTTATAGTTTGAATTGGCAGTAGTGGGAGTAGAGAGAACTGCTGTGATCAACAGTGTCATTGATCTAAATGTAGAAGGTAATAGAGTAATCTACGATAGTTCAATTTGTGCTATTATCAGAATTAGCCCAATAAGCTTACACTGTGCTCACAAAGGAAGATGAGTAACAGTTTAATGAGGCGTTGTTTAGTAGTGCATAAATGGGAAGACTCTGACATGAAAAATTGCAGGTCAATCGCCACACTGATTGGCATTCCAGGCATGACACTTTCATTACAATAAACGCTGAATTGACACAGTGAGCTTCCTGCTTCAAGTCTCTGTCTATAGCTCCCTTGAAACTCTGCACTGCTGTTTCTTGGCCTCTGGTTCCTGTACTGACTGACCAGCTCACTGGCAGCCAGTCATGTCTTGCATTTTGAATGCATTTATGCGGGACAGCTGATTAAATGAGGCAGAAAGCCTTCAGCAAAACCCCTTTACTCCCAGGCTGTAGTGGGAAGCAGCTGTGTCGTTCTGTGTTTGGTTTATTTAAAATGAGCACTGGACCAGCATCTGAGACAGGTCTGGTCCCAGGAGACATGTTCTATGGCTGACAATGGATGTGTTAAGCCCACTCTTATCTCCAGCTGGGCACGTTTTGAGCAACTCTGTTAGGATGAACTGCATATTAAAGGAGCTGTATGCCTTAATTTCCTTTTAACAGCTATATTCCCAATGCTTGGTGCTTCTGATGCTTTTAATTTAAATGGTTTATTTTGAAATGGGTAAAAATTCGTATTCTCCTTATCTTCCTAGAAGATCCTTTTTCTCTGCCCCAAGTGTCCTCAACCTGTGAAGGCAGAAGGTCAGGATTTACTTTGATACAGACTTATGCTCATTGCAGAGTCATTCAAGGTTCTTTCCCATATGTCTACATTAAGCATTCATGAATGGACATTTCTCCCCAGTATTTTGGCCAGCAATCCCCTGGATACAATTGATCATCCACCTCATGGCTGTTTATGGGACATTGTTGTATGCAAATTGGTTATATGTTTGCCTACAAAATACACAGTCTATACTCTTTACACAAAATCCTAAATAGTAGTTTAAGATGTGCTTCTGACACTAAAGGCGCTATATCCAATGCAAGGATTATTATTATTTTACTATCATGTTCACATTGATTCACTGCGCAGCTTTGGTTAGTTCAGCTCATCCCAAATGCATAATCTGAGATCCGCAAGCCTTTACTCTTGCCAGTCTGCACCTAAACTTCATGAAACCAGTGAGCAATGTGTGTCTTGGTTTGAAGACTTTTAAGCATGGTGATTTTTTTTGTGTACCTCTGACCAAAATAAAAAAATTGGCACGAGTGCAAAAACTGCAGTGCAGTTATTTTTGTTTCCAGCTTCACATCTGTCAATTGAAGTGCACATCTGGAAAAGCTGACGAACCTGGGGACTCATCACAAAATTGTTGCAGCAATGTTGATCTACCAGCAGATGGGGATGGTGTATGTAATGATTTGTTTCATTGTTTTATGCACTACAATAGCACCACCTATTGTGGCTTCTCTCCTACACCTTGAAGGGAGTCGTGAGAGTTAAATTAGTAATCATAATAATACTGATAATCTTTGCATTTGATATAGAACCTTTCACATCGGGAGGACGTCTTAATGCACTTCACACATTTCAATGTAAGTTATAGTGACTGTACATTTTGTAGGCGGATGGGGCAATCAATTTGCGCACGGCAGTGTCCCACAATGTAATGTTCAGTACAGAAGAGCACTGAATGTGCAAAGAGACCACATGAGTGCCAAGATTTGCTCACTGGTGTCAAATGAGAACACTGAGCTGGTTGTTGCTACTGAGTCTGACTCAATGCTTGATAAAGCATGTAATGATTGGAAAGGCAAAAAACACCTACAATCTGCTAGGCGGATGAATGCACCCTGAACATTTATTGTTGGTTCAGTACTCAAAATCCCCACAGGCATCAGACACAAAACCACAGGTTCGATTGAGTGCTTCAACTAACTGTAAAAGGGGCAAAAGGTCAACAACGTTTTTTTTTCATTTAACGGTTGGATGACAGTCTTTGAAGTAATCACCCTTATTGTACGGAAGTGGAATTGAATATTGGAGACTGTGATTTAAACGGTTTAACAGGGACACTTACTCTTCATTACAGGTGAGCTTCTAACCAGGAACAATGGCAGATGACAGGAAGTTGGAAGCGAATGCACAGCAATGGGGCACAAACACGCTTCTGGAGGCTGCTTCACATCAGTTTGCTGCTGAGTTTAAAGAGCAGAGTCCTTCAGGAGAAAGTATATCCCGGACTGAGAATGGCTACTCAGAGAGGGAGCACCCAGGAGGGGCACGCCACGGGGATGGAAATCAAACGGCCTACCCGACAACGAAAGCAAATGGGATCAATGGTGATTTGAAAGCTGGAGATGCAACAACAGCAGGTACAGTAAACTTTGCTCCTTTTATCTTCAACTTTCAGATTAGTGTACTATATAATACATGATGGATACTGCTGTGCTGTTTTTTTGGTCAGCTGGGTGTCTGATACATGTGGAAACCCATCACATTGCTTAAGAGTATCCAAACCAAGCAGAGATTTCAATGCATCCCACCTACACATGGAAATCCCAGAGATAGATTGTTGGACTGGAATGCGCACTCTCTCTTCCTGGAGGCACGCATCCTGCTTACTTAATTCTGGAAAGTATTAGGCGCAGGTTTGAAAAAGCCAAGGCTTGGGGACCTCACAGTATGTATTGGGCTTCTCCTGGAGTCTAACCAGCGAAAACCACACAGCTTGCCATCTGCTGTTGCACAGCAAATATGCAGGCAGCTGTGTGTGCCTCTGTGTGGTACAGAATTTCCCCCTTGTAATTATGAGCTGCAGGTGTTGATTAACCATCACCAGACTTATTGTGGTTTGGAATCTCTCCCAGACTGATGCAGAATGGATAAGTGCAGGTTAAGGATACCCTTTCCAGACTTGTGAATTTTTTTAAAAAATGTTTTATTACGTCAATGAAAATAGCAACATTTCAACAAGTACCAATTGAAGATCTGAAAGTTCCAGTTGCTCATCATGCGTGTACTTCAAAAACTTGATTGATCTCAGCTGTACAGGATAGTGAGTCATGGAAGTGTAACTTTATAAGGTTAGGAACATTTTGCAGTGTGTGAATTCAAAGACTACATTATTAACCCAGGAATAAGCTTCAAAAACTGTTTTTGGAAGTGGTTTCAATGATGCAATACAATACAATTTATATTAGCGCCTTTCATGATGAATGTCAAAGCACTTGACATTCCTGGGCTGGGCACCCAAGAAGGTGGTGGGGGGTGGTGGGTGATGAAAGCAGAAGAGGGTGGAGAGGAGAAAGGTGACCGAAAGCTTAATCAAAAAGGTACATCTTGCGATGTGGAGCGATTTTAAATGTGGGGAGAGAGGGAGGAAGGGAGTCAGAGGTGCTCTGTGGTGTGGTCCCAGAGAGCAGGAGCAGAATGGCTAAAAGTTCACCTATCGGTGGGGTGGATTGTGCAGGGGACCTGAAGCAGGCCAGTGTTCCAGGGTTCAATGAGCAAAGGAAGTAGTCAGCTTGGAATCATTGTAGGAGATGGCAGAGGGATTTAAAGAAGAGAGCAAGTGTCTTGAATTCATTCCTCTGGGGGATGGTGATAAAGATAATGGCATTATTTTAAAAACACAATCACTGAAGCTTTAGAGTAACAGAGTTCTGATGATTCCCTCTGAAATTGATTACCAACAAAGCTTTTTTAAAAAAAAATTTCTGGGTGATTTATAAAGGTAGCGACTCTGTCATCTACAATGTCATCCAATTCTAAAGAGCGAGAACTCTACAATGATCGGTCCTGATATAGCATAGTGGTTTCAGTCCATAAAATGCACCCCTGAGTACAACCGTGCAATGAGTGGTTGGTATACCAGGGCCTTTATAATAGGTTTTACTTTATTGCTTCTTTCGGTCTCTCTCTTTGTTGCAACCTTTGAAACAGCCAGTCATGATAACATTGTTAGATGAATAAATGCCCGTCGGTGTGGAGAAGCTGAATTGAGTGAATGAATTATCAGTACAAGCTCATTGATCTTGCCTTCACACACTACACTGGTCTCAATAGCTCCTCCAAGTCATTTGATGGTGTTCACATCACTTGACCTTAAAATAAAACTGCAAATAGACAGGAAAAAAGAGGAATTCAATTAATCCTAAACTGCATCTTGTATTAGTAATTTGTTTAGAAATGTTCAATGTTCAGCAGAGATAATGGTGGCAAGCTTCCATTTTTCAATGCTTCAGTCTTAAAGTAACAGAAATTCTCTGTTGCTTCTTGCTGAGATTTACATAAAGTAATAATCCATGCATAAGTAATCCTTATGTCATCAAGATATATGAAAGTGCTTCACAGGATATACAGTAAAGTGATGTTACTGTTTATTTTGCGGGCGAACAGGTTGAGGAAGGAGCAGTACTGCTCTGTTGGGCTGAGGGATCTGTGGAGTTGTCTTGTGAGGCCAAGTGTCTACCATGTCCTTTGTTTTGGGTTCTGTGTGCCTTGCAGTATTGTATAGTAATCAGTTTGCTTCAATGCCCAAATCTGTGCTCAGATTATAAATTGTGGGTAAAATGTTAGAACAGATCCTGCTTCACAGTGGTATCCGTGAACTTAGAGGTGAACGACTGAAGGGATATTGGTTATTTGTGGCTACAGTCTCATGCAGCTTTAACCTCACTTGGTCACGGATATCAATCCGGCTCAACAACAAGAACAACAAATTACGTTGATGATACAGAGATGAACGTGGTGGTGATGTGACTGGGACCGACAGGCCCCTGTGCTGCTATTCGATGGTGAGAGACTGGATTTTGAGATTATAGTTTTGTGAGTGTTTCTGACCCAGTTTGGGAAACTGGGTTAAGATATTGGACTGTACTTCACGTTTGTGGAAATTTTGAATTGGAATAATTTAGAACCCATTGGGGGGGATTGTAAAAAGATAAAGACACCAGGGATATTGGTTACCTGTTGTGATCTGACTTTGACTCCCTCCTAGTTCTGTTTTATGTTTTGTTGCAGTCACGCAATGCACGATGCACCAAATCCAATCAGGCCTTATTTGCTTAATCCGTGCAGGCTCAGACTTAAGAACATGCCGTCTGACTCAGCACAGAGACATTAGCGAGAATCGAGAGCTTCTGCAGTACAATTTGAGCGATCATTTGGCTTGGGAGGGTAGAAGCAAAGCTATTTTCCACTCGGATGAGACAATAAAAACCCTTGCATTTGGTATAGCGCTTTATCACATCTTTGAGACTTCTCAAAGTGCTTCATAGAATATACTGTGAAGTGAATTGATTGTATATTTTTTGGGAGAAACATCAGTTTTCTCGGACAGTAAGCGATAATAGGCAATCCAGACAAGCGGATTTAAGCTCTAATAAAGCTTATTAGGAATAACACAACAACTTGCATTTATATAGCACCCCTCACACAGGGTAGCGTCTCAGAGCGCTTGAAACTGGCGGAACTTGCTGCCAAGCCAGATGGTGGTGTGTGTGTGACCGTAGGCACGGTCAAAGAGGAAGGTCTTCAGGCGTAACCTGAAGATTGGGAAGGAGGGAACAAGGCCGAGAGATTTAGGGAGATTATTCCAGAGTTTTGGCGCACAGTGGCTGAAAACGCGGTCACCAGTGGTGGAACAGAGGGCACAAGGGACAAGCAGGAGGCAGTTGAGTAGAAGTGACGGGTAGTGGATTGGGAATGTAAGCAGGTCGGAGAGGTAGCAAGGTGCCAGAGCATGAAGGGGTTTGAAGACAAGAGTTGATTGAGTGACCCTTATTTATCTATTTTGGAGGTATACTTTTTTTGCAGATTTGCCCTCTCTCCCTCCCTCCCACCCTCTTTCCTCTCTGGATCATCCTTATTTCATTTCCCCACCCCTAACTGGGAATGGTGAATGGGCCGGACTGCAGTTTTCTACATTTTCGGTCCTTGCCTGTCCTGTTTTCAGGATGAGGCAGCATAGGGCAACCTACAGGCAAGATGATAAGATGAACAGCTAGTTGCCTGTCAGCTTCATTTCCTCTTGAAGATGGACTGGCTGACTCACCTCTGCAGAGTGCTTCGTTCTGTGGTTTAACCAAGAGCTGATAAAGCTTGCCAATAATAGCAAATATGTTCCAGGGGCAATAGCTTTGTCAGTACAACATCTGCCTTCTAGAGGCAGTGTTCCTGCTGCGAGCTACCAGGCTGCTCTTTTTTTAATGTATTTCTTTAAAAAAATTAAATGGTAGGGCTGCTGAAACAGCCCCAAAGTATTGATTTTGGGATAATGTGGAGAGTGATGTAATACTCACAAATTTTGCCTGATGTTTTGCAGAAATAGAGCAGAGGGGATTTCTAAAGTGATGCATGTGCTTAAATGAAAGCTACTTTGGTGATTATATTTTGACCTAACCCTGTTTCCAATGCTTTATTATATGTGTGAGGATCTTCAGAAATATGGGGGGAATGGGGTGGGGGGGTGGGGGAATTGGCATAAGTGAATTTACTTCTAGCAAAACGATCAGTGTTACCACTGGTGGTAAAATGAGCCCTTGAGCCTTCTGAACCTGCAATGGTTATTCGGTGGATTTATTAGTGGCAGTTAACACATTTTTGTGGGCATCACAAATTGTATGTGAAATATATCCTGCGTGTTCAATGTGTTCAGTAATGCTTATGACCTTAATAAAAGGTAATGCTGAAGGTATTTGTCTCAGCCTTGCCGTATGCATCTGTTGCAGGGTGCTGGTAGCTGCCAATATTTCTCCCATAGCCACAGCAATCTCAGAGCTTGATGTTTCTGTCCTCGGGATATCTATTGGCTGTTGGTGAAATAAATACTAACCTAAGTGGCAAAAGTAGATTTTTTTTTTTGAAATTTCAGTGGTATGATTGTCGCTTTGAGTGAAGGAATGTTGAAGGGAAGAGGATGATTCTCTTCACTTTCTCTAGCAATGCTAAAATTGAATCACTATAGATTGACGTTTAGTTAGAAATCTTCACATTCAGTGCATTGCAGTGGTGGAGGTTCATGTGGTGTATAAAAGCCAGTGTGGACTTATTGGGACGAATGGCCTATTTCTGTGCTGCAGCATTCCATATAATTCTATGCTGGGAGCCACCTTCTTAGCTGCTACGGATCCCTGTTGAGGTATGTCACCTCAAGCAGTGGAAACGTGTATGTCCTGGAATTACTCCACTTACTTTAAGAGCCTTTAACCAGCTTGAAAACTGATATCAAGCTGCCAAACCAAAACAACCTGAGTATCCAGCAATGTAAAGCCATTGCTACAGTTTCCTTGGTCAAGAATCTGTTCCCAGGTCTCATCCTCATTGGAGTTTAATTTTTCATGAGATGCACCCAGTCCACTACATATGTCGT